CCCCCCCCCCCCCCCTTCTCTCTCACACACACATGAACATGTCCTAGAAACGAAAATGTCTAACTAAAGCATCTCTCTTTCAAAAGGTTGCTTAGGATTTTTCTGCCTTGTTACTAAGTCCATTTCAAAAGGTTGCTTTGGTCAGTGTAGCATTACTCATCATAATATTTGTCTATTTTTTCCTTGTTTTTTGGTTGGCTCAGATTCCGAATTTGAAGCACCAGTGCTTGAGCTTCCACCTCTAAAAGTAAAAGACATTCCGATCATCAAGACGCGCAACCCGGAAGATGTATACAAGGTAACAGGTCGCATAATAAGAGAAACCAAGTCAGCTTCAGGGCTCATTTGGAACTCATTCAGAGAACTTGAACAACCTGAACTGGCAAAACTAGCCCAGGAATTTCCCATCCCAAGTTTCTCATTCGGACCATTTCACAAACACTTTCCGGCCTCCTCGAGTAGCTTACAAGAGCAAGACCAAAGCTCTATTTCCTGGCTAAACTCGCAAGCACCCAAGGCTGTAATCTATGTGAGCTTTGGGAGTGTTGCAACCATGGATGAAACTGGTTTTTCTGAAGTGGCTTGGGGATTAGCCAACAGCATGCAACCATTCTTATGGGTGGTTCGGCCTGGCTTAGTCAGTGGCTCAGAATGGCTCGAACCACTGCCAAATGGGTTCCTCGAGACAGTGGGTGGAAGAGGGCATATTGTGAAATGGTCTCCCCAACAAAAAGTGTTGGCTCATCCTGCCATTGGAGGTTTTTGGACTCACAGTGGGTGGAATCCGACACTAGAGAGCATTTGCGAAGGAGTTCCCATGATTTGTTCCCCAGATTTTGGTGATCAAATGGTGAATTCGAGATATGTAAACGATGTTTGGAAAGTTGGGTTGAAGTTGGAGAAAGGTCTTAAGAGAGGGGAGATAGAAAGGACAATTAGAAGAGTAATGGTGGAGAAAGAAGGAGAAGAGATCAGACAGAGAATGATGGGTCTAAAGGAGGAGGTAAATCTTTGTCTAAAGAAGGGTGGATCTTCATACCAGTCACTAGAGGGCCTCACTGATTACATCTTATCATTGTGACCTCTTAATTATGTGTCTTACTGCTCTTTCATTATTTGATTTAACAGCCAAAATGCCACATTGTGCTGAAATGCTTGTGCTAATAGTTTGGGCAGAGCAACCATTATGAAGAAAAATTATGCAGTGAAGTCGTGGGCAACACCATTTTCATGTCAAATTCATTTGATTATTGCATTTGTCCATTTCATGAATGCAGACGAATAAAAGTGTCCCCAAGGAGGAACATTTTCCAGGAATTTGGATCTGCCTGCTTGCTGTTTGCACGAATATTGATTAATCAAAAACCACTTATCTAAACTTATGCAATAATATTATTGCGATTTATTTATTGTATTGACAATGAATATTAACATTAAATATAGTCCAATTTCATTTCAATTACCACACTGAATTAACTCTTCAAATTAAGTATCTATATTAAATAAAAGTGACATTATTGGCCCTTCCTGTTTAACTCAACAAGAACCAAGCTCTATGAGATCGCTGCATGTGGTATTGAAGCCGANCTATATTAAATAAAAGTGACATTATTGCCCCTTCCTGTTTAACTCAACAAGAACCAAGCTCTATGAGATCGCTGCATGTGGTATTGAAGCCGAAACGACAAAGCCACAATGCGCCTTTGGTTCAATAGTACTTCTTGATTTATGAAAATTTTGTTTTCTTAATGTCAAAAGTTCAAATCCCCCTCCCNCACATGAACATGTCCTAGAAACGAAAATGTCTAACTAAAGCATCTCTCTTTCAAAAGGTTGCTTAGGATTTTTCTGCCTTGTTACTAAGTCCATTTCAAAAGGTTGCTTTGGTCAGTGTAGCATTACTCATCATAATATTTGTCTATTTTTTCCTTGTTTTTTGGTTGGCTCAGATTCCGAATTTGAAGCACCAGTGCTTGAGCTTCCACCTCTAAAAGTAAAAGACATTCCGATCATCAAGACGCGCAACCCGGAAGATGTATACAAGGTAACAGGTCGCATAATAAGAGAAACCAAGTCAGCTTCAGGGCTCATTTGGAACTCATTCAGAGAACTTGAACAACCTGAACTGGCAAAACTAGCCCAGGAATTTCCCATCCCAAGTTTCTCATTCGGACCATTTCACAAACACTTTCCGGCCTCCTCGAGTAGCTTACAAGAGCAAGACCAAAGCTCTATTTCCTGGCTAAACTCGCAAGCACCCAAGGCTGTAATCTATGTGAGCTTTGGGAGTGTTGCAACCATGGATGAAACTGGTTTTTCTGAAGTGGCTTGGGGATTAGCCAACAGCATGCAACCATTCTTATGGGTGGTTCGGCCTGGCTTAGTCAGTGGCTCAGAATGGCTCGAACCACTGCCAAATGGGTTCCTCGAGACAGTGGGTGGAAGAGGGCATATTGTGAAATGGTCTCCCCAACAAAAAGTGTTGGCTCATCCTGCCATTGGAGGTTTTTGGACTCACAGTGGGTGGAATCCGACACTAGAGAGCATTTGCGAAGGAGTTCCCATGATTTGTTCCCCAGATTTTGGTGATCAAATGGTGAATTCGAGATATGTAAACGATGTTTGGAAAGTTGGGTTGAAGTTGGAGAAAGGTCTTAAGAGAGGGGAGATAGAAAGGACAATTAGAAGAGTAATGGTGGAGAAAGAAGGAGAAGAGATCAGACAGAGAATGATGGGTCTAAAGGAGGAGGTAAATCTTTGTCTAAAGAAGGGTGGATCTTCATACCAGTCACTAGAGGGCCTCACTGATTACATCTTATCATTGTGACCTCTTAATTATGTGTCTTACTGCTCTTTCATTATTTGATTTAACAGCCAAAATGCCACATTGTGCTGAAATGCTTGTGCTAATAGTTTGGGCAGAGCAACCATTATNCAGCCAAAATGCCACATTGTGCTGAAATGCTTGTGCTAATAGTTTGGGCAGAGCAGCCATTATTAAGAAAAATTATGCAGTGAAGTCGTGGGCAACACCATTTTCATGTCAAATTCATTTGATTATTGCATTTGTCCATTTCATGAACGCAGACGAAAAATAAAAGTGTCCCCAAGGAGGAACATTTTCCAGGAATTTGGATCTGCCTGCTTGCTGTTTGCACGAATATTGATTAATCAAAAACCACTTATCTAAACTTATGCAATAATATTATTGCGATTTATTTATTGTATTGACAATGAATATTAACATTAAATATAGTCCAATTTCATTTCAATTACCACACTGAATTAACTCTTCAAATTAAGTATTTATATTAAATAAAAGTGACATTATTGGCCCTTCCTGTTTAACTCAACAAGAACCAAGCTCTATGAGATCGCTGCATGTGGTATTGAAGCCGAAACGACAAAGTCACAATGCACATTTGGTTCAATAGTACTTCTTGATTTATGAAAATTTTGTTTCAGTAGAAAGCAAATACACATATGCTCTTCATCGTATAGATACACACAATTAAATTATCATAAGTATTCAAATTAAAAATTAAATATTATGTTTCAGTCATAAAGGGAAGATTTCATATGTGGTTTATTTGTTTTATATTTTTTTATAAAAAAAATAGAAAAAGATCATTTTTGAACGTCCTTCAACTTTGCTGCAAGCTTTTTCACTTCTTCTTCTCCCTTCGCAACTTTTTTTTGAAGGACTTTGCCATTTTATTTCACTTGTCTTTTTCTTTGTTGGACATGTAGAGTTCAAATTTGAGACGGTTGATATCAACTTGTATNCGCAACTTTTTTTTGAAGGACTTTGCCATTTTATTTCACTTGTCTTTTTCTTTGTTGGACATGTAGAGTTCAAATTTGAGACGGTTGATATCAACTTGTATGCGATCTTGTTTTGCGTGGGCATCATCCAAAAAACCTTAAAGCATTTGTATGTTAGTTTTTGTTCTTTATTGTCTTAATTGTTATATTTTTTTTCCGGTGTTTTTGTTTTGAATTTTATATACGCTATTTATAAAGGTATTTTTCATGGGGTAGATGAAGAGGTTTAAATGTAGTTTATTATAGTGTTAATTTTGTAGTTAATCGAAGAGACATCTGATTTTAATATGTCTGTTGTAGAGATATACTGAATGCAATTGCTATTAATAAATATAACTTAATATATCTTCAAACTTCCACTTAATAAGTACGTTAGTAAAAAACATGTCATTGTTTTTTAGTGTACTTATTTAACGATATGTGTTTTTAGCGACAAGGTATATTATAATAACGTAGTTTTTTAAAATATGTTTTATTTACGTGATGACATTGTTATTATTATTTACATTTTTAATGGGCTTTAGTTACGACAATTACATTGACTTTTCAACAAAGATGTAATTCCAAAAAAAAAAAATTGACGGGTGAATTGTTTTTTAAAATCTTATCGGGTCTAACGACCGGCCTCAACAAAAACTCTAAAAAAAATTAGATGAGAAAAGCGTGCAATAGAGTTTGAATAGTCAGATGGATCATCTAGGAATGGGGCAATGAGAAAGCAACTCACCTTTAAGAGCTAACTTATTAAACTTACAATTGGGAAAGCAACATTAAGACAAAAACAACAAAACAACCCATACTTCAACAAATAAAAGGTCATCCACTCCCCATCCCCACCACTTGTTTGTTAGATTGTAGGAACTTGAAAAAGTGGATTAGTGATGGAACAAATGGAACTGGCTGAGTCACAGCTCCAGAAAGGGCATGACCGACTTTCGTGGTACTAACATTAGAAACATAAACGTCGATCTCACTTTACCACTGAAATGATACAAGAATAACTGAAACACCTCTAATTTGCTCTCAGATCTTAGCTATGAGTTGCTCCTCCACCATTCATCAATCGTATATCCTCAATCAGACGGTCCAAGTTACAGGATGAGGACCCACCTTCACTCACAGCCCTTTTCGCCAACTTTGACATTTCATCTGCTGATTTCTTGAACTCATCCCTCCTCACCTCCATCAGATCATTGATCATCTTCTCAACTATGACTCTGTCACAAGTGTCTTTCATGTCCACCCCAAGATTCCAAACCTCCCCCACAAACCTACTATTCACCTGCTGGTCAGCAAAGTATGGCCAGCAGATCATTGGCACACCCGCCAATATGCTTTCCAAAGTAGAGTTCCAACCAGTATGAGTCAAGAAACCACCAATGGATGGGTGGGCCAGAACTTCCTCTTGTGGGGCCCAACCCACCATGTACCCCCTTTCCTTCGTACCCTCCTCCAGCTCAGCCGGAATATGATGTTCTCCATCTTTTCCGGCAACGGAGTCTGGCCGCATGACCCACAAGAATCGCTTCCCACTATTCACCAAACCGTGCCAGAACTCCAAGAGCTGGTCTCTTGTCACCACCGCTATGCTTCCGAAGCTCACATAGAGCACAGATTTCATGGGCTGCTCGTCAAGCCACCTAATGCAGCTCCTATCTTCCTCCCACAAACTGTTCGAAGAGGTCGAGGAGGAAGTTGTTTTTCTGGCGAGGCTGGTCTTCAGTTGAGCATGGAGTGGCCCGATGGTGTAGAGTTTTGGACAAACAGAACGGATGTGAGAGAGAATTGATCCTTCAAGGTCTTCAAATGTGTTGAGTATGAGAGCTTGGGCTCGAGGGGTTCGCCTGGTTTCAATAAGAACTATCTTGAAGTCATCGGATTCCAAGTTGCTGACGCGGCAAAAGCTCGGTAGATCACGTCGCCGGAGAAAGCCTTCCATGCCCTTCACATTCGCTATTCCTTCATCCATATTGTCTCCTACAATTTGTTTACAGTAAAAGTAGGTACATTCTCCGAGAATCAAATACTCAACATATAAAGTGCTTGCGCAAATGCCTCAATTAATGTGTCAACACAAAAAAAAAAAAAAAAATTATTCTAGACATCGGAGGATTAGAAAGCAAAGTAGCAAACTAATAGACAACCCACCATTGAAAGGAAGCTCGCCGGCGTCAATGAGTTCGGGGATGCAAAAATAAGCCCAAAACGAGCAAGCGCTCACCGTACGGAAAAATATAACCGGAATACCAGTCTTTTCACCAACTTCAATTGCTAGACTCAGAATACCATCGGCTATAATGCACGTCACTGGCCGGCGGGCGTCGCTACTCAGACGATCTGAAACTATCAAGTCTATGAGAAATGGTTTCGCTATGGCTTTCAGAGATTCATACATCTGTATTATCCCATCAGGGTTGTGTAAACTTCCTTCATAAAGGCCGTCTGGAAGGGTTTGGAAACTGAATCCGGGATAGTGATTGAACCGGGGTTGGACATTGGTGTGAGTTAGGAGGCGGCCATGGATAGAAGCAGATACAAGGTAAGTGACATGGATGCCAGAAAGGCAGAGAAGCTCAGCGAGCTTGAGCATGGAGTTTACGTGGCCCTGTAGTGGAAAGGGGAAGATGATAACGTGAGGTTGATCCATCAGTGAAGTGTTTCAATCGAGAGTTGAATTGTTGATTTCAGCCTTCAGCTCAACCTAGCCTTGGTGTCCTACTTATAAATCTAGGACTTCTAGGGAACAAAGGAATTAGATGTTGATCCAAATTTTAAGAGCAATGTTGATGGGATCTAATTTATTATTAGTATAATTTGTTGACCTAATTTGTTGTGATATTTAAATTCACAGTAGATTTTACAAATCATTAGAACTCGGTGTTGATCCAATAATTCTTATAAAGTCATATTATTATGTCAATAAATTATGTCAAATTTTTAATTCTAAATAGTATTAATCAAATTTTAATGGGTAAATTACATTTGGACGTCTATGTTTGTGGCTTAATCACATAAATTACTTGATATTAAAAATATTATACATGAATCTTTTAAAGTTTGTATGCATGTTACACTTAAATCTCTATCGTCAATATTCACTAATATATCCGTTAGAATTTTATGATGTTGATTCTCATGGGTAAATTACACTTGAATTTTTAAAAATTTGTTATTTTTTTTTTTGGAGGGGAGAGGGAAGAGACTTAAACCCTTGACATAAAAAAGACAAAATTTTCACAAGGTAAAGAATACTATTTTTTTTTTTAGGAGGGGGATAGAGTATTATTGCACCAAAGACTTATTACATAGATCCCGTCAGGAGAGTTGTGACTATATATATCTCTAGCTTAATTAAAATTTGTTACTTAATTACATAGATCCCGTCAAATTTAAAATATTACATTTAGATCCAATTTGTGTATGTAATTAAGTAATAAACTTCAAAAGATCTAATTGAAGGTCTCTAATTTTTCTGGAAATAAATCACCAGAGGTTTTCACCCCTTCTAACTAAGTTCATTTCCAATTATATTTTTTCTTTGTTAATGGTGCATGAATCATAGAATCATAGTTTTTAGAANCTTTCACCCCTTCTAACTAAGTTCATTTCCAATTATATTTTTTCTTTGTTAATGGTGCATGAATCATAAAATCATAGTTTTTAGAACCGAGCCAAATGTTGAACCGTCAAAGAGATTGGATCAATAATTTGTTGATTCAACTGTTAAGTCAATTGATCGGACTAATTATATAATAAAAAAATATGTTCAAAGGGGGCGTTTGGATAGTAGGATAAAGGTGGTTATCCACCAATAAGATGGAATAAAATAGGAGTGGGACCCATAAAACCTTTGTTTGATTGAGAAGTCNTTTGGATAGTAGGATAAAGGTGGTTATCCACCAATAAGATGGAATAAAATAGGAGTGGGACCCATAAAACCTTTGTTTGATTGAGAAGTCATTTTTGAGGTAGGATACCAATCTCGGGTCAAAACTTGACCCAATTGCTACAGTTCCATTTAACCCCCATATGGCGATCACACATAACCCAACCCCCTCATGGGTTACAAACCCAGGCACTGGGTTACCCCACAGGTAGACGTATTTGCCCCTCTCTTTCTCCATCCACTCACAGCCAACGACGAATCCCTCTCTCTTTGTGTGTGTGTTCTGTCGTTACCCGTGACTTCAAATTGCACCACCATGACCACCATCAGACCCATCATCGCAACATAAAACCCATCACTAAATCGTGATGTCTACAACCAGAGACATCACCTATACAATCAGTGGCATATCCATGGTGATGATGATAAATATGTAGCAAGGAGAGCGAGATAGAGAGAGAAAGATGGGAGTTGAGGTGGAGGTGGTGGTAGTGGAAGAGATGGGACAGTGAGTTCTGGTGGCGGTGGTGGTGGGATGTATANCGATGTATACTATATTGATACTTGTAAACCCGGTGAGGGCTGGAAGAAGGGTGCTTCCTTGCTTAAACCAAGAGGCTTTGGCTTTATGTATGCTGGGGTCATGAATGGAAAAATCTACATTTGGGGGTGTGGTTTAGAGGTTGATATTCCTCGAACAGGTGAGGTTTTTGATCCAACCTTGAATTCTTGGTCTGAGTTGCAGCACCCTACACTCGACATCCCTCCATATTTAGAACTGCACGCAGTGTGGGAGGAGCAAAATCGGTTCTTATTTCAATCGACAGAAACAAAGGATCTATATGTCTATGATGCAGAGCAGGACTCCTGGGCCTTGTATGATTCAAGTTACGGTAGGCGTCGTAACAAAGCAGCAGTTGTTGGAGAAATCATGTATGTCTTCCACAAGGGAGAGGTACATGCATATGATTTAGATAAGCGAAAATGGTTTAAGAAGGCAGTGGCCAATTTGCGGAACCAAGGGTGCCTTCCACCTGCTCATGGGCCCTTGTCCGAGGAAGGGACTCTCTTACATCTAGGGAATGGGAGGTTGTGCCTGATTTGGGATCAAGATGTTGGCGATTTGAAGTATGTTCATTGTATAAAATTTGCTGTTTGCAAGGAGCGCTACGTGCATCGTGTGGCCTTGGTTGCCTGTGCGGTTTCATCCTCTGTTTTCTATATCAAGGGCGATAGGATTCTGCAAAGTTGTCTTGCACTGTAAGTAT